GGGTAAGGGGTCAAGGATCTCCTTGACGTCGAAGGCCGCGGCCGAGGCGACGAGGAGAAGAAGGAAGGGTAAGGGTTTGGAGGCCATTTTATCGAGAACAGCGGCCTTGGCCGTGTCTTCACCTCGGAGGGCTTCGGGATGTCGTCCGATTGAACAGAAGAGGCGTGAAGGGTATATATATGGATAGAGAGATAGACGCTCGCAGGACGTTGCCAACTTTGGATGTGTTCGCCCGCGATCATGGATCTCTGGAGGGTGGAGTTTGACCAAGTCGCAAGTCTTGTGTTGTTGTATGGTGGAGCGAGAGATGGTGCCAGGTCGACGTTTTCGTTGACCAATTCCACCCAATTTTGATTTGATTTACGAGTTGCCTTCAATTAAGATGGCAAGTATATCTTCTACGGATTTCTATTTAAGTCCAATTACCACGTACATCGAGCTTTGCTTCACTTATTGGATCATATAACGGTGTCCTGAAGAGCAAACACCACACTCGACAAGCACATGACGATGCAAGCACGTGCGAGACCGGCGCCGAGACTGGGCGCCCGGCTTACGTGTTCCTTATGCCACGCGGCCCGAGCACGGTCTCGTGCTTCCCGACACGGTCCACCTAACCCCTACGTGTGCACATGCAGCAGCGTACGACGCGTGCCACCTCTAGCGTCTCACCTGTGCCATCGACCCATTGTTGAGTGTTCCAACGACCAGAACGATGGAACACTAATGAGATGCCCGCTTCTCCCTCGTTCGCGTCAGCATTAGTAGTCTCGTAAGCCTTCCGTGGGTGTGATAGGATGCGGCCCTTCTTCGACCGTCAGATGAATGAGGACAGTCCACGAACGGTAGGATTCGGTCATGATGGCATGCGGCCGTGGTACGCTGGACCTGCGCTCATTCGCGTTGCGATCGTATGCCGATTTCAGTTGACGGACGACGGACGACGCACGACCGTCAGATTGCTCTTTTGGACCGTGATCCTTACTGGGGCTCAATTTGGTGCCACTCATCGCCGTGTGATTCCGATCAGACGCTGTCGGGCGTGGGTTCCACGACCTCTTTGCCGTTTTCTTTTTCTTGTTGTGTGACCACGAGGACAGCAAAGTAGTCCCTTCGTCGTCTTGAACATCTACGTGGCAAGGGGCGGTGACGGACACCGGGTGAGGACTAAAGGAGGCGAATGGGCGAGGGAGGCGCCGACGTTAACGTGGCCGGATGTGGGAGCGCCACGAGGCAGGGGAGACACGATAGAGCATCGCATACGACACGGCACGAGAGAGAGAGAGAGAGCGTATCGTGTCCCCTCTTCTCCCTGATTGCTTCCTCCGCAACATGCACACAATTCTTTCTTCGTATTCTCGCTGAATACGAGTGGCGCCGAGATCCGCTAACCGGATTCGGATGATTGGCATGGAATCGGGTTCGGATCGAGTTATTTTGATGCGAAGTCGGATTGATCACAGGGCTAAAATCAAATGGAGTTCCATAGTATGTAGTTTGGATTTGAATTGACTGCGGATCCGACCCTATAACGTCACCATTGATTGGCAACAGATCTACGAACAGCATACGCACGCCAGCTATTTGCTGAAGAGGCGGTCAAGAAGACCGCCGAAACGGCCCGTGAAAGCCTTCCACTTGCCCCCCCGACCTTTTTATCTTTCCTTTCTTTACATTTCAATCCCATCATAAATCAGTAGGATAACAGCAGTCCTCGTTCCTCGTGTTCTCACTCTGAGCCTCATCATCTTCCTCTTCCTCCCCCTCCTCGGTGTCAGTCTCCAGCTTTTGGTACCCTTCTTTCGTTCTTCAAAGCAACCATCTTCTCAGTCTTCCGATAACAACGCTTGTATTTGAAGCCATGGACATGGATGCTACACACAACTGGCTCGCCTTCTCCCTCTCTCAGCAGCCCTGTTTCCTCGAAGCCTTCTCTTCGGTCGCCGCTCCTCCTCACCACCATGGTTTCTCTTCCTTGTTCTCCGCACCTCTCTGTTCCTCTATATTTCTTATATCCGTTGCATAAAGGAGCGACTTGGTTTCAGGTGGAATCGAGGGGGCGGAAGAGGAAACCAGCGCGGCGACGGAGCTGGTGGCGCTGGCGAGCATGGGGCCGAAGCTGGAGGACTTCCTCGGGGGCCCGATGGGGCGTTACTCCAGCGCTGAAGACGCTGCCTCCCCCGCCGAAGGCGTTTACGACTCCGACCTGAAGACCATCGCGGCCGGGTTCCTGCGCGGCCTCCCGGTGGAGCAGCAGGAGCCCCACTCGGCGAAGGAGGCTGCGCCGAAGGTGGAGTCGAGGAAGACCACGGCGGACACCTTCGGCCAGCGGACCTCCATCTACCGCGGCGTCACCAGGTAAAAGCCGCGAGAAGTCGCTGCACTGGGCGATATGGGAAGGCAAAGGTTCTTTGTTGACACCCGGACGGGTATTTTGGGCAGGCACCGGTGGACTGGGAGGTACGAGGCGCACCTGTGGGACAACAGCTGCCGCCGGGAAGGGCAGAGCCGCAAGGGCCGACAAGGTACGCCGGCGCAACGCTACCGTGAACCTCAAGTACACTTTAGATTTCTCACCACTCCTACCTGCTAACATGCGCCCCATTCCACGTCGCTGTTGCTCGACGTCTCGGGCTGGCCGTGCTTTTGTCTTCTTGCTGCCCCTTCGCAGTCTACTTAGGTGCAGTCCTTTTTGTTCTCCTCCATGCTTTAATTTTCCCGCAAATAGATGTAACGTTCAACGTATTTATAGTCGTGATCTTTTTGGTATTGTCGCGAAGGTGGGTACGACAAGGAGGAGAAGGCGGCAAGGGCGTACGATCTCGCAGCTCTCAAATACTGGGGTCCGACGACCACCACCAATTTCCCCGTAAGCTAACCGGAACCCTAGTGTTCTCTGCAATACGTACGTCCGATGTGCGTGACCGTGTTGTATCTGTGGTAGATCTCCAACTACGAGAAGGAACTGGAGGGGATGAAGAACATGACTCGCCAAGAGTTCGTCGCCTCCCTCAGAAGGTGGCCACAATGCTGATTGCTTGTTTGTATACTTGATGCTGATTCTTGGTGGTTGTTGTTGTTGCAGGAAGAGCAGTGGGTTCTCCAGGGGCGCCTCCATCTACAGAGGGGTCACCAGGTCTGTTTCTGTAGGTATTATACTTGATCGAATACATCAATCCATATATCAGACTACAAATGGTTGTTGATGTGTTTACAGACACCATCAGCATGGCCGATGGCAAGCGAGGATTGGAAGAGTGGCGGGCAACAAGGACCTTTACCTTGGAACCTTCAGTAAGTATGCAGCTGCACGGCTTGGTATAAGAAGACGTTAAGCACCAGAACGGGTGGTGGATGAAGAATGGATTGGATTTTGGTGCATTCAGGTACACAGGAAGAAGCGGCGGAGGCGTACGACATCGCGGCGATCAAGTTCAGGGGCCTCAATGCGGTGACCAACTTCGACATGAGCCGCTACGACATCAACAGCATCGTTAACAATGATCTCCCCATAGGTGGACTCTCCGGAAGGCCGTCGAAGGCCTCGGAGTCGTCGCCGTCATCTTCTTCGGATTGCATGAGCGTCGATATGAAGCATCAGCTGCACCATCAGGACCCTTCGGCCTCTTTCGGGCTTGCCACCATCCCCATGAAGCAGGACCATGACTACTGGTCCCTTCTTGCTCTCCACCATCAACCCTCAGGCTTTGGTCTGTTCTCCTCCGGCGATACTATGGACTTCGCTACTGCTACTTCCAGCAAGGGGATGTTAGAGCACCAGCAGGAACAATCTCAGAGCAGTAGCTACTCTCCCGTTCCTTGTGCCACCTATGTTGCGTGCGGAGGTGGTCATAGTTACGACGGTTCCAACATCATGGGGGGTTGGGCTGCACCACCTTCGTCCTACCAACAGCCGGCTTCCAAGCCACATGTGGCGGCCTTTCAGTCTGCCATCTTTGGGATGGAATGATGCGAATGGGGAGGAAGCGAGACGACAAACTCACAGCAGCTGCTTATGCGATAGACAGTCAAAGTTAGGGAGACCTATGAAGCTGATATCAACTGACACACTTACACAAAGGAGGGAATGGGAGGACTGACAGAAGACTAACAAGAGATTCAAAGTTTTGCTCGTGGTCATGCTCAAACCTTCTTTTGCTTTCTTCTTCTTCTTTTACTGACATGATTCCGCACTGCCATCATCATCTTCTTCTTCAGTCTCGACGGAAACAAGTACCTTTTGTAGCTTTATCTTTCTCCTTTTCTAGCTTACCGCTGGGCAAGCGTAGAAACCATGTCAAGCTGCGTTCCTAGGGTTGTGTGTTCAGTATCAGATGACTGCAATCTCCATCGAGACATTTGACTGGGCTAATCAAACCTTGAACTTGCATAGGATGCCCTTGCTTCAAGTCATTAAAGCATGTCTATTAGAGATTCTTGTTGTTGGCTGTGGGCTAAGTTATTTAAGTGTGATGATATGGGTTTTGGTGCGAGTTTAGACTGTGGTGTTGCTGAAATCTTTTCATGCACACTTAGTTCATGATGCATGTCCAGTGACTCCTGCTGCAAACTAGTTCATTGCTAGTAGTTGGGTACAGCTAAAAGGGCAATTCAATCATTAATTATACTCTTAACACGTCAATTACATCGATTCTTGCGTCTGTCATTGGAGGTCAAAGGCATCACCCCTATAATCCAAGCTGTCAACCAATCAAGCTAGAGGAAAAGCATGAGAACACAAAGCATATTGGTGACATCATGAACCCTTGTAGTTTTTAGACTGCTGACCAAGCCATATGAATCACATAGACTCTCTCTCTCTCTCTCTCTCTCTCTAAAGTATAAATCCTGTCTGCCATTGTGAGTTTGTGCTTTAACATGGTAGAGAAAGAAGAGTGGCTTATACTAATATCACTTGAGGAGATAAAACTCTTTTATATTTGCCACTAAGACCATTAATTAGGGCTTCTCACAATGCCAAGAGGCCATTGAGTGAATGAAGGAGACTGTTCTTTGACTCTCTCTCTCTCTCTCTCTCTCTCTCTCTCTCTCTCTCTCTCTCTCTAGGATCATAAAGTGTGGGAGACAACATCTCATGTAAACACACCAAATGCTGTCATCTTCTACTGAACGATGGGCCCACTGGATTCAGAAAGAAGAAGACTTTCATTACATGAACATGCACCATTTGATGCTAGTTTCTTTCTAATGGCTATTAACTTACACTATCATAACCCACACCATCTCCAACAATTATTAATAATTCTACCCTATTTGGTTAGTCAATCAACACAAATAGAAACTTCTCTAAAGCATGATTAAATCCTTTGAATCACATTTTTCAGAATGCATTAAACACATTCAAAAAGTTGGAGGAATCATATTGTGAAAGCTTTGGACAGCTTATACCTGTGGTCTTTACATATGTTTCAAACAGAAAATAATATTGTTCAGCCCAAGTATTACTTTTATTTTGTATCCAGCCCACCTATTTTGGGCCCATTATGAGATCATTATGGTTTAATAGCTTAACATGCATATATTATGAGATCACATGCATTTATCACTAGCCTTCTCAGCCCCCTTGACATCTAAAACAACTCTCTCTCTCTCTCTCTCTCTCTCTCTCTCTCTCTCTATATATATATATATATATATATATATATATATATATATATATATATACATACCTACATACATACATATACAAACATACATACATACACACATACATACATACATACATACATTACTTAAAATTTTATAAATCAATAACAAGCAATTTGACAATGAGAAAGTAATATTATGACTACAATATTATTAATTTTCATCAAGCAAAGGAGTAATTGTAAATAGACATGTAGGATTGATCTTGTGGTGAGCATGTAGGTTTAGCTATTGAGTGTGGGGTTCACAATATACCTAATTTCAAAATTCATTTAATAAATATCATAATTAGATATAAGAGGATGGAATGGGCACAAGATTTTTTTGAAAAATACAATTTTTAGAATTTTGGAAGAATGAATTTCTAAATCGATTAACCATTAAGGATATAGATATATCTCTTATTTACTTATAAGTATCATCATCTAACTAATTTAAGTAGATTGGATAGTCGCGAATCGAACGACTATTGATAAAAAAAAATAAAGAAATTCAACAGACATACATACATAATTATTTTATCTTTGTGAAAAGATTGTGCTGAGGATTAGAACAATGCTTAAATTGATACAACACATCACACATCTTCCCTTCTTATTCCCTTTTTCTAGCCCCACAAACACATGTGGGAGTAGCAACTAAAGGAGCCAAAGAGCATTGATTGAACCCACTGTTTTTGCCATCAATTGAACCTTATCATCTTCTTCATCCTCCTAACTTGTTCAAGTGGACTTCCAACCTCCATCAATGGGTTTGAATGACTCATGACTCATGTAACTCGGTCGAACGAGTGGCCACCACTCTTTCGAGATTTTTATTCCCTCAACAAAAGAACAAGGAAGAGGATTGATTGCAAATGATTAAACATGATGCCATGAGTCGGAAGAGTCTTCTTGGGATGGTGATATGGTGAAAGGCGCCATATATAGGAAGTGAGATTACCAAATACCAAGTCATGGTTGGCATTTGTCATTGTCATACAACGTGTTGTTTCTTGATGCTCCAAACTTGGATTAATAGATGATTAAGACACGTCGATGGAGGGATGACAGAGAAATATTTGTGGTCATTGTCAATTGTATCGTTTGTGTTGGAAAGATGCATGAAATAAAATATATTCTATATGGTTTATAATTGGAGACGATGTCCCACATAAGATAATTTAATTTTATTAGATATTGGCCATCTTCATCCATACAATTACATTCTCTCTCCTCTCTCCTTTAGGTTAGGGAAAAGTATTCTTACTTTACCACAATAAAAATGAAGTGCAAAAAGAGATTGTAAATATCTTAGTATTTTTTTTAAATAGTAGGAATGTAGTGTTAGTTTAATATATAAAATCGTATGATATTTGCAAGCTAAACCATATGATTTTTTTCTCGTGAATTTAGATAACAAGCGTCGTGATAATATTTGAGATTGTATAAGTACATTTGTGGATTTAATCAAGACCAATTATCTTCTCTCGCGATGTCATATCTATTTTTAGAAAAAATAAAGATTGATGCCATACAAAATAATGAACAAACTTTGATTTGATTATCAAATGAATATTAGCCGACACACCGTCGGTGTATATAATCTATTATAAAATCAGATCGACACAAGATATGAGATATAAATATTTTTATCTTCGAGAAAAATTTTTCTTCGTTTAATCGCGTGATTCGCATCGTTTGAAAAAATATCTTTCTCTCTTTTAAATATAATAACACTCAGTATGTTAGGTTGACGATTAAAAGTTGATCATATTAAATTTCATTTCATGTCGAAATAAAATTCATCTAAAGTAAATTTGTCCTACTAACTTCAACTCAAATATAAAGTATGATAATTAAGAACAAAACTATATTAGTAAAACTCATCAAAGATTCTATCGGGCCATTCAACAAATAATGGATCTAATGTCTTACCGATTGTTATTCGAAGTCAATAGCTGCCATGAAACAAAGCGTGGGAGCAATTATAAGGATTTGTGTTGGCAACCATGCAAGTGGTTGTTACCAACACAAACTTCAATTAATTTGAAGCAATTATAAAGATTTGGTCAACGCTAGAGTTCGATTCAATCTATATAGAATCCATCTCGAGGTCAATCATATACATTCATTAATTGCATTCATTATTTATAAATAATAATTAACTTATGAAACCACCACAAAAGGCAATTGGAACTATTCGTCACATAATAATTTACTAATTATTGATTATTATAGTAAGAACCCTATTTCAAAGGATATTTCATAATCATCGAGAATCTACTTTTGATATCGATTATAATAAACGGTATTGAGTTCTATGTTTTAGTATCATTAAATTGATACATATAAAAGACAATGACGATGATGAAATGGATGGACGATATTATATCATCATTTATACGAAGGGTAAACTTATGATAATTGATATTTTTATGAATAATATTATTTAATAAATAATAGGCAGAAAATATATGATTAGAATACTATTCCGTACGGTCAAAAGACGATGTAATACTTAAATATGGAGTGCAAAGAAAACAGACAAAAGAGAGAGAGGGGAAAAAAGCCCTAAAAAAGAAAATGGTGGGGTTTATTGTAAATGATTTGCTTTGTTAGGGTTGAAGATTGATCACACCGCGGCGTCCGAATCTAAAAGCAAGGAGGAGGAGGAGGAGGAGGACAAGAGGTGAAGATGATGAGACCCGGTCAGCCACGGATTCCTTTCTTGGTATTCCCCTCTCTCTCTCTGTCTCGCTCTCGCTCGGTTGGGCGTCGTAACCGTAGAGGCATTAAAGAAGTCGGTCATTTTAATGGGATTATTGCTCTCCTTCGGTTTGGATCCGCGTGCGGCGGTGCAGGGGGCGGAAAAAGGGTCAGCCTTGAGGGTGGCAATGTGAAGGGGGGTAGCGCGGAGGCCGCCCGCTATGGATCCGAATTTCTCAGGTGCGCTTCTCGTCCTTTTCGTCACTGTTTGTGGCTTCTTCGTTGCGGTTTTGGCAATTGATGCCTGGGGAGATCTCGATCTGCTCGCTGAAGTGGATTCCGAGGGGGAACGCATGATTCGGGTTCGGTGTGGTTCCTGGTTCGACAAAGTTGGAGCACCCAAGGGGCTCGGTGGTTTTCTTCGATCTGTAGGAGTTTGGCGTGATGAAGATCGGGTTTTTGTAGGGTTTCCGCGGGTTTCTCCGATTTCCTTCTCTCACCTCTTTGTGTAATCCGCTCCTTCCTTGCATTTGTGGGTGATGTGCAGCGGATGACCAAGTTTGGGGCAGTTGGCATTCTTTTCCCCCAAATTTTGGCTTAGCATATGCTGAGGAAGATGAATTTTCCTTTTGTCCCCCCCCCCACTCATCTCGAGCTTCCTTTTTCACGCCTCGGATTGAAATGCTGATTTCATCAGCGAATTGTGATGGCTAGGAATTCTCCTATGTCTAAGAAAAGTAAAAGTCCACCGAAATGGAACTCTTAATTATTTCGACCGGAAAATGTGGTATGATCCATAAGGAGTTCTTTTCTTGATCACATTTTGGCTTTCCTCAGCTTGAAGAATTCTGGAATTCTATGGTCGATGCTAAAGCTTAGAAGGTTGCTGGTAAAGCGTCGGTCCTGTGGGTTCAAGCTGCATCCCCATGTCGTTCTCAATCACAAACTTAGGATTTACTTGTTGAACTATCATTATCTTCGATTGCAATGAGCTAAAATTGCTTTCTTTTGCTTCAAATAGTTTTCTGATTTTACAGAGGTCATTTTTTGCTCAGAGGTTTCTTGTTCAGTGTGATACTCTGCCTCTTGTACTGTAGTTCTGGAACCTTTCTGTTTACCACAGGAAAAACCTGCACTCAAATAGTTAGCCAGGAGAATGCTATATGTTAGAAGTTACTAAATGTTAGTACTTGGGACTCCAGCTTACCTGCTACATCAGGTGTCCAAAGAACAGTAGTTTCTGAGTCGTTGGCTGGCACATAGATGAACCCTAATGTCATATCAACTTACTCTTTGTGAGGGTGAGCCTTAGCACCAGTGCCTTACTGCAGGCCATGTGTCACAGATTTGAGTTGTGGAAATAGCTCTATGAATGTAGGAGTAGGGGTGAGGTGTCATAAGTTTGACCTTCTCCAGACCCACATTAGAGGAATCTTGTACAGTGAGGCATCTTCTTCAATCATTGTATGTTTTTTAACTTTTTTTTTTAGTAATTATGATATAGTTTGCTCTTCAGGGCTCGTACTTGACCCATCTAAATGTAGTAAGTTGAGCATCGAGGAGAAGAGAGAGCTCGTCCGTGAATTGTCGAAGTGGCCAGAGAGCGCTCCTGAGAAGCTGCAGACATGGAGCCGACGTGACATTTTAGAGATCCTTTGTGCAGAGATAGGGAAGGAGAGGAAATACACTAGCTTAACAAAACAAAAGATGATAGAATACCTTTTCAGAGTTGTTTCTGATAAAAAATCTGGAGAACATACCAAAGACAGGGACTCTGCTCAGGACCTGTGTACACACAGCCCTCAAACCCCAGCTAAGAGACAGAGAAAGAATGACCATCCTTCACGTTTGCCCATCACTACGGTCAATCTGCAGTCGGGTGATGTTGAAGAAGCTTCGGACAACATTAGATACTGCAAGAATTCAGCCTGCCGGGCGACTCTTAACATAGAAGATGCGTTCTGTAAGCGGTGCTCATGTTGTATATGTCACAAATATGATGATAATAAAGACCCTAGTCTTTGGCTGTTTTGTGGCTCAGAGAACCTTTCTCAAGGTGACTCATGTGGCCTGTCTTCTCATCTTGAGTGTGTTCTTAAGCATGAAAAAGGAGGTGTCATGAAGAGTGGGCAGTGCACAAGATTGGATGGGGGCTATTACTGCATATATTGCGGAAAAGTTAATGACTTGCTAGGGTAATTTCTTCAACATAATGTTAAATTGTTTTCAATAATCCCCTTAGTATATGTTCATCCATTTTTATTTAACTGCTCATTACAGCTTTCAGTCGTCAAACTTTTAGTCTATATCTGATCCATTTATCTTTAGCACCTAATCTACTTTATCTTGTGCAATAACCTAATTAATTGTCTTGTCTTACCAATCCTGAATTACTTCAGGCTAAAAGAATTGTGATGGTTCAACATCATTAAGTGTTTAGTCTGCTAGTGTTAGGAGCAGATAATTTTTTTGATGAGTTTGATGAGCTCAATTTTGTTTTTTTTCTTTAAATGTGATAAGCAATTAGACTTCAATGACACAATCTAATAGCGAAATTTCTCTGTCGGTGTTTGTTTAGTAGGCCAAAGAGTAGTCATATCTATGTTTCTTAAGATTCATAACTCGGCTAATGTTGAATGCTTCAATAAAGGATAAACTGGCTCTTGAGATTAACATGAACATAATATGAATGGAACTAGCAGATATAGCATTTAAAGTTAGAATGCTTTATTTGAATGACTTGGAAGAAACAAGTGCTGATGGAAAGTTGCAGTGGAGGACTTTATTATAGAAACCTAAGTGTTGATTTATGGCTTTTGGAATGCTTGTGATGGAAGCGGTTGATTTCTCATGGCCTTTAGAATAATGGGAATGATTGGGTGCGGATAGAAACAACAGTAACAGAATAAGAGAGGGATTGTTACTGCATTTTGCAACAAGAAAAGAAAATTCTTCATCAAGCAAAACGGTCAATACCTGTAATTCAGTATCACTTTTTATAGCCACTTCATTTCAACTTAAAAGAATAATGAAACCCGTTTATCCTTGTATATTACTTGTATGGATTCAATAATATGCAACCTTCCTTATTTAGTGAAAGTTTGTTTACATGTTTGCTTTTATCTTGTTTAGACATATGTTTCTTATCGTTAAAGTATGCATAATTTTTACACGGAAGCTAAGAAGTAATCTATATCAGAATATGAGAGAAATGCAAAACCAGTTCTTTTTTATTTAATTAAGAATTCCATGGAGAACAATGATAAATTACGAGAAACTGACTGAGAAACTGCTGTTGTGATATAACGGCAGGTGCAGGGAGGCCGCGGTTATGATATTACAGCAAGAGGTAGTAGGTGCTGGTATGAGAAAACCTCAGTAGGTGAAAAAAAAAAAATCCAGATTCTAACTGAATTTAATCATATGCAAATGTCAAACAGTGGTTATTTGTCAATACATTGAATTAAAAATGAGAGAATAAGTGGAGAACAGAGACCATAGTTTTTTTCATTTTTCCTACTGAACAAAACTCTATCGACTCACAAACTTTATGGCTACCAATTTGACTTCAATTAAATTTCAAACTTATGTATCATCATAAATAGGTAGTAATGTATATAAAAACATATAGAACATGTTGCCTGAATGCGGCATGACTTAACTTGACCTTTGTTATACACATCCTACATCAGTTAATCTTGTCAATTGTATTAATTGTTGGTTGTTATACCAAATTTTATAGCTCCATACTACTAGCAAGACACTCCGCATTGAGTTTGTTAGATAGCTTAAAATACCATAATAGGAGCTAAGACAACATATGAGGTCCATGGTGCATCGTTCTTGCATCATTCTTTGTGTGCTAGGAGATAAGAGCTTTAGAAGTGAGCATAAGATGGCTTGTCTTTGTATTTCTATTCATAAGCACAGAGGGTTTGGAAGTGTGGATCATGAATGTAGAGACTTGACCTCTTTGCTTGTGGGAGGGCTTAGAACAGTAGAGTAACATCAAGGTATAATTGTTGATTGGAAAGATAATTTGGTGAAGAAAAGACATGAAAGATATGGATGTATATTCTCATCAGGTGGAGAAAGACATGATTGCCATTATGGCAAAATGGACAGGAAAATGATGGCAAAAAATGATTATGAAAAAGGGTTCTGGAAGACCATGAGCTGATGTGTTTCTTTTAATAGAATCTCTTTTCTCCAATTTCAGTTAGCTGGTACAGTGTTAACCATTGCACTTAGAAAGATAAGACAGATGGTAATTGGTAATTTAAATGGTTCCATTATCTCCATTTCTTTTTGGATCCTGAGTAGATTTTTTATGAAAGTTTATGTAACTGCTAAATGTCTCTTTCATAAGGAAAATTATGCAAACTTAATGTTACTCTGAGAACAGCCAGGGGACCGATATGTTCTCTCTCCTGAAATTACTTGAACAGGGCAATTTGTCCTTGAGTCCAACCTGCCTGACTTTTTTCCTGCAAGGACAGAAACAGGTATGCATTTGTCATGAAATTCATGGATGACTATAACATCTATTTTAGTGAATTTTCTGTACCCCTCAAATGCTTATTCTTGTCCATATTATTGTACATATCAATTATTTGGTCCTGAGAGATTCTCATTGATCCTTCCTACTGGATTTCCCTTTAGGTTTTAGGTTGGCTTGTTAAGTTCTAGGTGTGACACATTAGATTTTGGCATGAACAGTTATTTTGAAGTAAATCAGTTCTAGATTGTCTAGATCTGTTCTCACTTCACAACTGAAACATATTGTGGAAGAGAAATTCCTTTGGTGGTCACACATCAAACCGCAGTTGCTCCCACAAGTGATTCACTTATAACATTTTTTTACTTTTTGTTTCTGCAGGTGTTGGAAAAAGCAGCTCATGATTGCAAAGGATGCACGACGAGTCGATGTATTGTGTTATCGGATTTCTCTTAGTCATAAACTTCTCAACTTAACAGAGAGGTATGGAAGTTTGCATGAAATAGTTGAGACAGCACAGAAGAAACTGGAGGCTGAGGTTGGGTCTATCGATGATTTACCAAACATGGCACGAGGAATCGTCAACCGACTTTCTGTTGGTGCTGAAGTCCAGAAACTGTGTGCCTGTGCAGTAGATTTACTAGATACAATGCGCTTAGGTGGTTTATCAGCCACTGCTCAAGTTCAGCGTAAGCTCGTCTAAGCTCCAAGTTTCTTAAAATTTCTGGTACCTTTTTGATGCATTCATCATTCCTTCATGAATTTTTGTCACCTGCAGAAACTGGTTCAGTATCCTCCAGCTTTATCAAATTTGAACAGATATCGCAAACATCTCTTACTGCGGTTTTGGATTTGGAGAATAATTCGTCATTAGGTCAAGAGGTAGCTGGCTTTACCGTGTGGCACCGAAAGGTTGACACCCCAGAATACCCCAAGAAAGCCTCATTTTCTCTATTAAATCCAAAGAGAAGGTTTCTAGTAACAGAACTAGCTCCAGCTACAGAATATATGTTCAAGGTAGTTGCCTTCGGCGATACAGGGGACCTTGATACATGTGAAGTTGGAACAAAAACCAAAGGCATCTCACTGGACAACTCTATGGGCTTGGCACCGCAGACAGCTGTATTAGAACCACATTGTCAAAGCCCTAAAACAAACAGTAGTGGCTTGTCTAATCCCTCAGAGGGTGACGAATCTAATACTAACAGTACCGCTTGTGCTGACTTGAACAAGTTGCCAGAAATAGAATTTGATGAATGTGAGAAGCCTGAGATCCTTGAGACAGAAAAATCAACGGATCATGCCCAGAAAGATGCTGGCCACCAAAAGAGTGAATGCAAGGGCAGTACAAGCAGAGCAGAAGTTCCTGAACGAGATGAATCACCTGGGCGCTCTGATTCTGTATTAGATGAGGAACCAAACTCAACGATTCGGACAGATTCCACTAACTCTATGGAGAATAACCAAACATCTGACATCCCAAGATCAGAGAATGAATCTAACGCTCCTGTTGTCAACGAGATGGTGATTGTACCATTTGTGCAATCCAACTCCACCCTTCCTGCCACTCCTTGCAGGGTGGAAGCTGGAACAGAAGGTTCTGAGAGGTGCAGCAAAGGAAAACCTAGTGTCAAAAAATTTGAAGATGGCTTGATGAAGCCAGGCATGGAACCTGGGAGTTCATCAAAGAAAAGATGTGGGGGGAATCTTGAGGGTGTAAATGTCAAAGATGGATCACTGGAAGGAGCATACGAGTATTGCGTGAAGGTGATCAGATGGCTGGAATGTGAGAGGCACATCGAAACCAACTTCAGGGTGAAGTTCTTGACATGGTTCAGCTTACGAGCAACCCCACAGGAGAGAAGGATCGTTAATGTGTATGTCGATACTCTAATAGATGATCCTGTGAGCCTTGCGGGGCAGTTGGTGGATACCTTCTCAGAAACCGTCTGCAGCAAGAGACCACCCCGAGTGCCGACTGGCTTCTGTGCTAAGCTCTGGCATTGAGACTCGGGGAGCCATTCTTCTCGGTATTCTACGAGACAATTATTTACATGCAGATTCGTGGCATTAATTCTTCATCAATTATGTGTTCATGGATCAGCAAATTTCAGGTCAATTCCTATTGTTGCTCATTGACAATCACACTTTTATATGTAGTTGAAAACTAGTTTTCATTAACAGAACTACTTAGTTCTTAATGCTCTTTTAGTCTCGTGGCACTCCTCTTCATCTTTACACTAGTTTAAAGGTTCCCTATGCTGATACAAGCACTTTTTTCAAGTGAAAAGATTATTATGTTGTACTTTACAATTTCTCTGGGTAAGTTCTATTTTTTTAGTAATAAATAGACAAAGGGTATCGTTTTTTGGGATGATTACTTTGATTGAGATCTCTTGGGTGTATCTTTTTTGCATGGTTAAGCATAACTGGGAAGCCTCCTTGATTCCTATTTCTTTTTTGTTTTGGATTTGATCTTCTCGTTTAACTTTGTTTTCCTGCATACCTCAGCTGGATCTTCATTGAGCTGCCTTAAAAGTTTTCACTTGAATCGAGTATTGTGTTCTTATATTTGAATTGCCATATACTAACAACATTAATTGAAATCTTTACGTACGCGATTTAGATTATTAGTTTGGTTACACTGATTGACATAACAATCTTAAGGTGATTTGACTGTTGTGCAAATCATCCCGCTAACAATGCAGATGTAGTCCATCCCATTGCCCCCTCGGTCTATGGTCGCTACACCACCATCAACAGCCGGATGAATCCGCGCCCTCTAACGACATGCCTTGAGCCTACCAGGTGCTCGTCCGAATGCCCCGACGTGATCCGTCGATTGGGCCCTCACACGCCGCCCGACCTCACAACAGCGGCGATCGGGGGCGTACGCGGGTGCCTCTCTGCTCTCTCAGCCTCATGGCCAGTTTGGGTTCGATCTCGATGCGCTCGTCAAAGGATAGAGCTTTGCTTCCGAGATGTTTGATAAGAGTTCTGAAAGAAAAATGCTCTCTCAGCCCCATGGCCAGTTTGGGTTCGATCTCGATGCGCTCGTCAAAGGATAGAGCTTTGCTTCCGAGATGTTTGATAAGAGTTCTGAACGAAAAAGGCTAGGCGGCAATCGTATGCCGGAAGAAGAACGATGATGTTTGTTGAACGAGCACCGTGCTCGATTGTTGTGACATCTAAATCATCGTCGTCCATAGCAAAAAGACGAATTGGAAGACGGAAACCATCAAAGAAAAAAGAACACTATCGGCATCAAAAGAAGCATACGAATCAGAAGTATGGGCCACAACTTGTTCAGGAAGCGCACCTGATCCTGAGATCGCAGTAAATCCAGGTGGAAAGCTCTTCCGGCAGGAGCGAACGTGGTGGTGCTCGCTCGATCGATGGAGGCGAGGAAGGGAGATGAGCAGGCATGGGCCAATCGCAGCGGTATCGGCCACGATCAAAGCGTGGATCTAACAGGTGGTGATGGGTCAAGCAAGGTGCAGTCATCCTGCCATCTTTGAACAAATTATTAGCATAGGAGTATGCAGGGCTCTTAAAAAGGACCAAAGAGAAGAGTGAGTGGTACAGTTTTCAAAGGCCTATAGGAACAAGCATTACCCCCACAAAAACGACGTGTTAAGCTGACCCGCTACAGAAAGTTACCCCAGTGACAGAGTTCTCGGAGTCCTCCAACTCGGTTCTCATGTGAGTGAACAGAGAGGTGGATGTCATGCATACACCCTCCAAAGGTCTGACAGATGAACAAAAACTTCGATGTTAATCTGTATTCTGAGTGGTATTGAGAAACATTAACATTTCCTAAGAACTGCGCAGGCTTCTTTTGTAACATTTTGCTACTTCGTACGTTCCATGTGTTCCTATCAAAATATAAGACTGGTTTTTTTCACACAAGCCCTAATCAAATGACCATTGCATCTGATGAAACGCATCTCCCAAGTTCAACTTGGTGTGTCTAAAAGCCATGAAGCATGAGTCAGTTGGGTATTGACGAGCTGTGATATCTATACATGGGTCAGTTTGAAAATTATGTGCAGCATATCAGATATACCATTTCATATTAACCATTAGGTTAACAAAAAAAAATTCCAGGAACATGCCTTGAAATAGGCAAGAACATTAACAAAGACCTATCTTCAGCTGAAGAAATCCCAGATGTTTCCACTGCACCTGTTGATTAATATGAAAAAGACATTGAGTGGGTATCAGCTCCTTACCACTAGGGCCAGGGTTTCTGCACAACACATACTGGAAAGACAAAGTAGAACGTTAGCATTTGAAATTAAGGGCAAAGCCATATCCAACAATTTCTTGGGGCTCACCAAGATATTTGTAGCAACTGGCATCATAACCAATAGTTTCAATAAAGTTGAGAGCGTATCAGCAGTCCTGGGAGGCCGGCAGTGCACAGAAGAAATGAAGCAGTACTCTTAATCTAGTATCTGATTAATGTTTCAACAAGCAATGTCTAAGGCGAGCGGTAAATGTTATACATGATGGGTAGAAGAGAATCTCATACTATGATGACTAACCACAGCCCTGGACTGGATTCGGGAAGTGAAGACTTGCAGCTTATCACAACTTGCTTGGTTTCAGAACCCTGAGATAATAGAAATCTAAGATCAATAAAATTATGAACAATTTCCCTTTGGGTAGCAAGGAAAACATGTTAAAAGCAAGGTGCAAAAAGTTTGAGTTGAGCTTTGAGCATTTGATTAATGAAGCAAAACTAAGTACTTTGATGATAAAGTTCCCCTAGTTACATCCTTTTATTCATTAATAGAACACTGCGAACAATGGTAAAAGAAGGGTAAGAAACAAGTAGCTGTACTGAAAAGTGATTAACATGCTTATGTGGAGGACAGAATGAGAGTACAATAAAAAATTTCATTTCATTGTAGTGGAAATGATATCTCAGGCAAACCTTGCATTTCCACTATGCCTGAACAAGCTCACATAGCAATCAAGGACATAAATGATGAAATGAACACAGTGGAAGCAACACTCATACACTTTTGTCATATGTCATAAATTGCATGTAATACTAATTTATATCACCTAATATTTTTTTTTACTACAGAAGTGTACACTCATACACTTTTGACCTTCCCAAAACCTTGGCAGCAAGCTTGGTGCATTGGACCCTCATTCTTATTTTCTTACTACCTGGTCTGAACTCTTATTCTAAGTTATATTTCTTATTTTTTTGTTTTAATGTTGATAATCGAAGCAAAACCTGTCTCAAAACTACTGATACAGGAAAAAATATTGATGACTATCTAACCATGAAAGACATGTAAAACTACACTCTGGCCATAGCCTAAATCAGAACTAAAATTTCAAATTCAAATCTAAATTAGTCTATAAAATACTACTGGAGATTCTTATTGGTAATGGTGGCTTTTTTTTTTTGTTGGTCAAATGCATAATCTCACAATCATATATGTTCCTTCGATGAGATGAAAAAATATTTGGCCATTTACCAACCACCAACTAAAGATCAGTAGTTTTAAGCAACATTTTTCTGCTAAAACTATTCTCAGATTTTGCGTGGAATGACAAGTTAACTAAGCACAAACTTCTATCCTTAAAAAACTGTCACTTAACATCAACTAGGACTTCTATTGACCTTAAGATATACTTCATGTCAAGATTCATTTTCTAAAAATGACCCGCCAACGGAAAATTTTGAAGAATTCTACTGGGCTATTAAATCCAACAAATGGCAAAATTTCTGCCCTGTATCATATTGCCATGTTGTTGAGGAGAGAAAGAAAGATAAAGCTTATACAAGTTCAAAAGACAAGCCAAAAAAAGAAAATCAATACTTTTCATTATAAGCATAACACATCACAACTCCTTTGTAAAAGTGACGAAAGAACACAGACGCTAGTTTAATGATTCAGTGAAGGTAGGCCAAGCTTAAAGGTTGTGACAGAAGGAACAGCAGATGCCTTATATTAATCCAAAGATAAGGCACAAGGGGAGAACATAAATGTACCAGCATTTATGTGTACTGGTGAACATAAAGTTGTAGGCTCGAAGAGTACTGATCATTGTGTACTGGTGAACTACTCTTTTCCATTTGCACCTGTTACTATATAAGATGGTGCAATTGAACACCCCATGCCTCACATAACATTTTAGTTTTGCAATTAATCTTCCCTATATGGTAGATGTTCCATTTCCATGACAGTCTGCATCACATGGAAACCAAATTCCTCTCTCATGGATGTTTGAAGCAGACAATAATTTACATATGGTGTTGTCCAAAGCATTACTAAGATACTTTCTCACTAGAACATTCTCAAATTTGCTTGTAATATGTTGTGAACTCAATCAATTTAATTATTCTATATCGCTAAGGAACTCAAAAGCGAGTGCTGATCCCTGAGTTGGAGTTACTAACTTCCATTTCCTATTGTCAGAATCTTGTCTAGAAATATTGGGAAGTATCTAACTGGGTTTCAATGTACGTGTCACACAATACCAGCGATATTGCCAATCACATGCTATGTGATTAATATGCATAAACCCAATTGGCATTCGCAATGCGCAATAGTGGATGGAACAAGACAATCCAACCAAGTGTGAAGTTTTCTAAACTGTATAGTGGTGGCATTTCTTGAACAAGTGAAACTTGAATGTAAAAGCACATCAAGCCTTATTTCTAATCCAAATCCAACTTGGAGAATACCTTTCATGTCTTGAGTCAATTCACATAATTGCTTTTTAAGAAAGAAAAAGTTATACAATTTCAATGGTTCTACGGCAAAAACTAGTTACATAGCAAGAAAAAAAATGATTCAATGTAATAAAAACAAAGCTAAAAGTTCCATGTAAAAGCTAGGGCATGAACGAAAAACCCTAACCTTTCAGGCTGTAATCAAGATTCTAGCGGTTCCGCTCCGGAGGCAAAGGCCGATTAAACCCTCCCCTCCTATTCATGTACTGCCGAGGCTGCCGCTTCGTAACCACCCTCACCCCGCTCATGTCATTTCCCTCCACCGGCTTCCCTTTGGTGGAATCGAACCCTATCGGAATCCCCAGCATCTTCATCATCTCCAGCTCGTCCGGGTCCGCGTCCGTGGGCGCCGGCACCTCCCCGCCCCTAGGAGCGTCACCGGCCTGCTTCTTCTGCTCCTTGGCGCCGCTATCCGCGATCTCCGAGGCGGAGGAGCGGCGGCGGTCGCGATCGTCGTCGCTGCCTTCCCGGCGTCGCTTGCGGCGGACGGAGTCAGGGGAGGGGGAGCGCCGGTGGTGGCCGTGGCGGCGGCGGTGCCGCTCAGCCGACAGGGAACGGGACCTCGACGGGGACCTGGAACGCGATCGCTTCCGGTAGTCTCGATCTCTGTTCCGATCCCTGTCTCTCTCTCGATCTCGATCTCGATCTCGGTCTCGGTCGCGACCGCGGTCCCGATCCCTCTCGCGGTCTCGCTCTCTCTCGCGGTCTCGAAGCTTCTCCTTTTCTCTCCGCCTCTCCGACATCCTTCTCACGCGAGCCCGAAGCTTCTTGAGCTGTGGAGAGGCATAAAAACTGCTTCATTCATCGCATCGACGGTGCGCCAAAACCTAAAACCACCGGCCCGAAAGAACCGGAAACGGGTCGGATGCGGGTCTGATACGAGAAAAACCATATCCGCATCAATCATAATAATCATAAACAAAAAAGTCAATCAACTAATTCTAAGGAATATTTTCAAAGTAATTTTTAAAAAAAATATAATATTATATATATATATATATATATATATATATATATATATATATATATATATATATATATATAAACTCAGTTCTTTCATATAGATTTGCAAATGATCAGAAACCCAACATAAAGACTCTTAGATCCAACCAATCCCTTCACTCTTTCTTAGCATACTATAAAAGAGATACTTTTAATTCATGCACAACACATTCAATCCCTTCTTCAATATTTTGAAGCCATCAAAAAATTCAATTCTTGAATCACCATCTATCAAATTATTACAATCATTATAACTTAAAATTCATCCCCATCATGCTTTGCTTTTCTTATAGAAGAATGTCATCAGTAAAATACTTGTAAAAAAGCTGAATCTTCATGTTGAAAATCAACAATAAGTTCATTTTGTCGCCAGTGCAACCATGATTGATAGCCCAAGTAACTTGTTATTCATCTTAAATGAACGGAGATCAATTACTCTTTGAGTCAGCCATTCATTTCGAAGTAATAATTAAGAGCTATCTTGAAAAAAAAAAAAACATAGAAAAAGCTATTATTGTCATACAAGGAGGAAACAACAACCATTTTGATTGCTTTTGGACAGATGATTTCATAAAATGTTCAAAGACAACTGATTTCAAGAAGTAATCCGAGAATGCTAACATAGGAAAAACATTTGAAAGGAAATCATTGATCACAGATTCCTGCCTCGTCGATTGAACTAACTGCGATCAGCCGCATGATGACACAAGAGCTGACATAGGATCATTTGGTCTGTAATACGTCGAGACCGCTTTAGATCATTGATATACAAAGCATAAACAGCATTTCATCAGACATGTTTTTAACTTCAGGACCCACATGCCAATGCTGAAGTCTACTGCATGACAAGAACATGATAGCAGAGTCAGAAATAAGCATATGGACATAAGAAACGGAGATGATGTTTTACCTCTTTAAAAACTTTTTAGACAGCTTGTACTTTGCTGGAAAGCTCTTTTGGTTTACTAAGTTTACCACTTTCCTTTTCCTGCAATGAAAAATATTTAGAAATTCAATTCACATTCTCAAGCCATCAAGCAGTACAGATTCCTATAAAACTTG